CAAAAGCCAACACAGCTTTTCCTGTTGCGTCCATGGGTTAAACTGTTGATTTAAAGGCGCAGGATTTGCATCTTCCCGTTTTCAGCCTTCACAGTCTCAGCACGACTTTAAAGCCTCCAGCTGCACTGTCTTGGTTAATAAGAATCGTTATCCATTTGTCTGGCCCTCTCCATGTTGTGATATTCTAGCTTTTAATATGATTATCCGGAGAGACTCTCCGCCCGATCCTCTAGTTAGCCGCCATTTTCTTCTCACCTCCAGTTTCTACAGGTGCTAACTTAAGTGATCATTTTTCAGGGAGAAAACTAACTGTGGAAAAGCAACAGGATCTGTTCAAGGTCATTTCTGCAGTAGGCGAGTCAGCATGCAGTCCCTGTTCCTGGTGTCTGATAGCCACCTCCTTGCCATCTGAAGGCAGGGAATCATTCTGCTATAGTACATTGCTTGGAAAAATAAAAACTTCTATCAAATGATAGCAAGATTCTTAGCCTTGGGCCTCTTGATTCATGTTCCACATGCAAGAGTGTGAGCCTTGAATATGGCCAGTGATGTTTTCCCAGCAATCTAGGCACTCCTCTAACATGAAAACTACCAAAGAGACAAGGGATTAGCAAGCGATTCAGCAATGTCTGTGTTAGCATGTAACTGCCCACATGCTTTAAATTTTATTCCACCTCCTTTCTGTTTTAAAAACTATAATTTTTGACACATACTAGTTGTACAGAGTAAGGAGATTCATTGTATTTTCATATGCATTTTCATATCCACCCCTCTCCTACCTTCTCCCTCTCCCCTAACTCTCCTCCCAGGTTGTGTAGTCCCTCTTCTACTTTTTTTAAGTTTCCACATATGAGAGAAAACATGCAATATTTTTCTGTATGTGAATTATTTTGTTTAACATATATTCTCCATTTCCATGCATTTTCTGCATATAACCAGATTTTATTCTTCTTTATGGTTGAGTAGGATGTGTTTGTGCATGTGTGCACATGTGCATGCCATGTTTGCTTTGCCCATTGACCAGATGACAGATATGTAGACTGATTGCTTGCCTTGGTTATTGTGAATAGTGCCTCTCTTGCTCCTTTCTTGCTCATTAGCCATTGTTTTATAACAAAGCATTCCGAAACTCAGTGCCTTATTGCAAAATTTTATAATTATTACTCAATTTTTTGGTTGTCTATGCTCAGTTGGGTAGTTCTTGATTAGAGTAGACTGTCATGAAACTTCAGTCAGCTTGCAGCTAAAACTGCAGTTCCCTGGTGAGTCATTTGGGCTGGACTTCCACCACAGTACATTCCCATGGCCTAAACTCCAGGAATAAAAAAAGGGAGGGCTGGAATGTATCTTGAGGTAGAGGACTTGCCTTAGCAGGAAGGAGGTCCTGAGTTACATGCCCAGCATAAGATTGTATAACGGCTTACAATTGATTTCTAAGACCATAGGGTAAATGAAAACTGGATAAAGGAGCATTATTTGCTATAATAAAGCAAAAGAAATGACAAGCTTAGTGCCAGCAGAAAGGAAAACTGATGAGACCTCATTTCCCTGCAGAACCTTGGAAGTAGTGAAATTCTGTGTGATACAAATCTAAAATTGTGAGCTATTCCTTACTTTCTTTCTGTCAACAAAACCACACTATTATTGTGTCAGGCATTGAGTTGGGTACTGAGAAACAGTAATTACAAGTTGTCTTAGTTACTTTTCACAGGCTGTTGAGACAAAATATACTGATTCCCAACATGAAAGAAGGAAAGGTTTATTTCTTACTTGTTGGAGGCTTCAGTCCATACTCAGTTGGCTCCAAGGTTAAATGACATGGCTGAGGGGCAGTAGTTTGTGGTGGCTACAAACATCAGGCATGAACAGCAAAAGAGAAACACAAGCCTTCTTTCCTCAGGTACACTGTATGCTGGCTCCACCCTTGGCAGATGTAGTACTCATACCATCAATCTGAGTGCTAGAAAACAACCAATAAGTAAACATAGATATGGTCACATCCATGATGGCATGAGGCTTGAGGGGTACTGAGGTTAACCATGACAAAGATCTTGCTGTCATACTCTCATCATGAAGCCTACAGTCTATTGAGGTGGAGGGATATTTATCCAATCACTACCCAAATGTCGGCTGAGCATTCCTAATCTGAATCTTGAAGTCTGAAATTCTTCAAAGTATAGAACTTTTGAGTACTGATACAGTGCCAAAAGTGAAAAATTCCAGAACAAGAAATTTTGTTTCAAACACAAAATATTTTTTCACTAAGATTATTGGTATATTCTAGGTGTAAATAATGATCATGTAAGCCATGGGAAATTTGTACCATACATTAAAATCTTGAATGTTTTATTCTCCATTCCTCCAACTTTGCTTCAACACCCTTCCCTTCCTTGTTTATGAAAGCTCTGTTTGCTTCTTTTCTCATAATTTGTTTCTTTTCTCTTCCTTCTTTTCTCCCTCCTACATCCCTAATTCCTCATTTCATTAGAAAATGTTCACAATATCTATATTATTTTAGTGCTTATCTACATTTTCACTTTCCCACACCAGAGAAACAACACAATACACATGTCAAGCACAAAATTATTAAAAATGTTGTATAAAATGATCTTCAGGTTATGAGTATGAAGTGTATGTGAACCATAAATAAATTTCATATTTAAACTTGTGTGCCATCCTCAGTATAACTTATTATATATATGCAGATTTTCCAACAAATAAAAAAATAGAAATTCCAAACACTTCTGGTCACAGTCATGTTGTATAAGGGACACTGAATTTGTAGATGTTTAATTAAATCCTCAAGGAAAAAGTACAAGAGGTGATCAAAATGTACAGCTAATACTTAAATTTTTTAGATGTACTACAATAGTGATATGTGGCAATTAATCCTTCTTAAAAAGCACCTATTTAGACAAATAAATTAAATAAAATACACATCCTCACTTCAAAAACACTTCTCCATTTGTTCTTGTAAATAAAATACACATCCTCACTTCAAAAACACTTCTCCATTTGTTCTTGCAATTTCTGAAGCAGTTTGGAAGTCCTCTTATGTGAGTGTCTTTAGATATTGGAATAAACATTATAGTTAGTGCTGCTGTCGAGTGCCATCCAATGGAAAGGAAGGCTCATAAATACATTATTGTGTGTCCTCATCCACCTGATTCACCAGATCTGGACCCGTGTGACTCTTCTGAAAATCAAAATGACCATGAAAGATGAATATTTTGAATTGATTCAATACATTGAGGCAGCCACAACAGCACAACTAAAGATACTCATAAGAGGACTTCCAGAACTGTTTCAAAGAAAATGGCAAAATGATGGAATAAATGCATTCAAATGAAGGAGAAACTTGGTGTAGGGGTGCATACCTGTAACCTCAGCACTTGGGAGGCTGAAGCAATAAAATCTTTGAGTTTGAGACTAGCTTGGGCAACACAGTGAGTTCAAGGACAGCATGAACTCCATAGCAAAAGCCTGTCTCACAAAACCAAAAACCAACAAAGAACACCTAGCTGATCATTTCAGCACAATTTTGTGTTTGTGTGTAGATTACTGACTCACTGAAGATGGAAGACCTTCCCCGTGTGTGGTGGGCAACCAATAGGCCTGCATCCTGGATGCAGTAAAAAGGGAAAGGAGAAAGTCTGGCTTCTGCCCCTTCAGAAGAGTTCGAATCCTTGCCATTAACTTAGGCGTCCATTTCCAGGCACCTAGCACAGATTCTTGGCTCCCTGCCAGAGACTCTCCAGGGACTTTGCAGTGAGCTCCAGGCCTCAGACTTGTGATTGGAGTTTTTGCATCTCCAAGGAACACCTGACCCTTTTGCGCTGTTCTCCACCTGACTCTGCAGATGGCCATCCTAAGCCTAATTTGCAAATCCTTTCTATCACACACACACACACACACACACACACACACACACACACACAGACACACACACACACACACACAGAAATTGAATCTGATCCTATAGTGAACCCTGACAAACACTGCCTCTACCTAGCTGTGCAACCTCCCATGAACAGTTTATGTCCCACTCATGTGAAAAATCCAAAGCAGAACTGCAGTGGTGCTGTGTTAACAGAGATGTTGGTGTAAGGCCCGCTGGGTTAAAACTCTGTCTACTGCTTTGTCATTGGAAAAGGTATTTATTTTTGGTGTCTAAGCTCACACAGCAGTGAAAATGAAGATAATTCCTATCTCACACTCTTGTAAGAATTAACATATGTAAAGCGTCTCAAAGAGGCCCTGGCCTGACACCGATAAGTGTGAACGAAGCTTGTTAGTACGTTTTATTAACATGTAAACATACTTGTAAGATATGAAAACATCAGACAATGGATTCCAGAAGGACTCATTTTTCTGTAATAAAAGAAGGGCAACAACGCAAATAACAATGGCATCTGAGCTCTTGCTATATGCTAGGAGCCATGGGAAGAGCTCTGCAGGGTTTTCATTGGATCTTCACAGCAGTGCCAAGAGAGGATTATTGCCATTCATCATGTTTTTTTTTTTTGAATGGAAAAAAATCCACAATATTTCAAAACAAAGTAATAGGAGAATGACAGTAGTGGAAATTGAGGCTCCAAGAAGAGAAGCAGTGGGCTCAAGGTTTCAGAGCTACAAGATTTGAGTCCAGACACCAATAAATTCCATGTCTGGGACAGTCCATTCCTCTGCTTCCTGTCATAGTGGGTCTGGGGCTCGAGTCTCCCAGAAGCCTCATCAGAGACCTTCACCGGCAGCCACACTCTGCTTCAGCGGGACCCTAACCCCAATTGCCACACCCACTGCCTCATTCTTTCCCCACTGGCAACCTTGGCGCCTGCTTTGTCCCAACTTCTAGCCCTGCCCCTTACCCTTCCCTCACCCCCTTCGCCCCACCCCCTTCCAGGACCAAAGGTTCTGCTGCCCCGCCCCACACCCGGCGGGCCACGCCCACGGACAGCCTGAGCCATGAGGCTCCACATCGCAGCTCAGACCTGCCCACGCCCCGCCTCGCCCTCGCAGTGCATGCCGGTCTTCTGCTTGGAGTCGCCATTTTGCCGCTAGAGATGCTGTCTGAAGACCAGTGCTCTCTTCCTTCAGTGGCCTAGGCTGCATCGGGGTCTGAGCTGGGGTCTGGGCCAGGTAGGCTGGAGGGAGCCGGCAGCGAGTGGCGGCGCGGCCTGGCGGCCCCCACGTTAGTGGGCGCAGGTGCCCGGGCAGGGAGTCCTTATGGCGGGGTCACGGGCCAGGGCGGTGGCGGGCACGGCGCTGGGGGCGACCCGGCCTCCGCCCGCAGGGTCCCTCTCTCCCTTCCTCCCTGCTCTCCCTCGGGGTCAGCACAGCCAGGCTACTGGCAGCCCAGCCCTGGTGTGGGACCTGCAGGAGGTGGCTTGGGGGTCTCACATGGCCTCTGCTGTCAGTGAGCCTGGCCATGCTGAGCCGCGGATATTTACCCCCAAAATGATGATTTCATTCCACTAGGAGCTCCTCCCTGCAGAAACCAAGAGAGGACTGAGATGTTTAGTAAGATAGCAGTTATTATTCTACCAGTACGTGCTGTGGCTCCAGTCTGTTTCATTGATAAGGGGCTTTCTGCTTCTTTTAATATTGGCGCTACTTGGGTGTTTAGGTTTTGTGAGGGATGTTTAGGTTTTGTCAGGAGTCTGAATGCGGCATGGGGCTTTGAGGCATGAGGAAGTGTGATTCCACAATTTAAGTCCACAAAAAAATGCACCCACATTTTTGAACCCTGCTGCAGAATATTCTTCTTGTTCCTATTCTGCTGTCTCTGACCATTACTCCCCAGTTTTGGTCACATCATTTATATATTTGCATAGTGTTGAATATTTATATTATATGCTTAGGTAGAGTTGTACTTAGTTATCCTGTTACTGACCATGTACACAAGTCTAATTCCTCTTAGAAAACTTTAATTGAACATATATCGTTTTTCCTTGGGATAAATTCCAGAATTTGGAAATACTAAGTCAAAGTTCTCTGCTCTTTCCCTGCCACTTGATATGAATTGGTGCCTAAACAAGACACGTTTACATCTTTTAAAATCTAGGTATTTGCCCAAATTTCTTGGCAAATTTGGTGTTCAGCAAGAGGTTGAGTCATTTTCTGTACAGGCTGAGAGACAGGCCACACAACCTACTGTTGGACTTTCTTTTTAAGTCATGTACCATGCTCATCTTTTTGTTTTGATTGACTCTATTCTGTTTTGTTTTGTTTCATTTCGTTTTATTCGCTTTAAAATAAAAAATGAAATAAAAAATATTTTCTTGCTGGCATGGTGGTGCATGCCTGTAATACCAGCACTTTGGAGGGTTAGAAAGGAGAATCACAGTGAATGCCAGGCTAGCATGAAATACTTGCTGAGTTCAAGATCAGGCTGCAGTACGTAGCGGGACCTTGTCTCAGAATGAAATAAACAACCCCTTTTTCCTCTTTTCTTATTTTAATGTACCATAAGTAGATACTAATAAAGAAAATATGAAAACACTTTTATAAATAAAGTTTTCATACTATGCAGTTTGTACACTATGAAACTATATAGTATGCTTTATACACTATAGCATACTTTATATAAATTTATATACTGTAAAACTGCATGGTATGAAACTATGAAGTTTTTGAGCCGAGCGTGGTGGCTCACACCTGTAATCCCAACACTCAGGTGGGTGAGGTGGGAGAATCCTTGCAAGTTTGAAACCAGCCTGGGCTAAAAAGTGAGCTCAAGTCCAGCCTAAACTGCATAGCAAGACCACGTCTCAAAAAGACCAAAAAAAAAAAAAAAAAAGGAAACTATGCAGTTTCATACTATGCAGACACCATTCTTACACACAGATTCTTACAGGTCTATGTGTAGATGCACATTGATGTCAGAGACATTTCCCCTTCAAAACTGAGATACTTGTTCTCACATCCATGTATTATTTCATGATCAGATTCCTTGGCTTCTTTCCCTGTGGATACAGGGAGACCAATCTCAGCATCCCTGCAGCTTTCCCTGCTTCCTATGACCCACACTGGTACCACACACCCTTTATGTGGAAGAGAGGGATGGTCCCAATTCCTTCCTGCTTCAAATAGCTGTGAATCAAACTCTTTCAAGGAAATCTTGCAAAGTTGTGCAGCTCTCTGTAAGGAATAAATGTCTGTTGTTAACCCTTCCAGGTCCAGTGACAAATGTGTGTAGTGCTCTGATGTGAGCTGCCAGACAGGTCTCTGCTCTGCCCCCATAATCTCCCCAGTGCTATTCAGCACCTGCCTTAAAACCTGCCATCAGATAGAGACTCAACACATCTCAGGGATGTGTGCCTGCATGAATCAGTTTTGGAGGCTCAGTGTTTTCTGCATTTGTTGGCCAAGTGTGATGAATTCTGGGTTTTTTATTAAAAGACAAAAACAATACAAAACGAAAAAATAAGAGGGTACAAGTAATACAGAATTTCAAGAAAAAAATACAGTAAGAAATCACTAATTTATTGCCATCTCAACAGTTGTCCAGATTACAAAATTAAAGCATACAAAGTGGACAGTGAAGTTGTAGACAGTTCTGTTCAATGATCCAACAAAAACTCAATAATATGGTTTTCTATTCTATACACTTAAATATACATACAGTTATATCCTTTAGATCACTTTCTTTTCTTTTCCTTTCTTTTTTATAATAACAATTACACATTGGAGTTTTATTATTCCCACAGTTCTTATAACTTTTTCTTTGAAGAGGAAAAAAAAATAAATAAAAACATAACAAATGAAACAAAGCAAAAGAACAAAAACAAAAACAAAAAAACCCCAACATGACAAAGCAAAACAGAGTCAGTTAGAACAGGAGGATGGACATAATACATAATGCAAAAAGAGAACAGCAGGTGATCAACAATGGTTACCATTATGCCTCTTGCTATCTTAAAAAGAGTTTCCTTTATCATCTGGTATAATAGATTTGAACAAAACAGTACAGAACAGGGCGAATAAAACCCACATTGGAGACCTTACGGGACTTCCAAAGAAGATAATAGTCAAACCATAATGAGCATCATAGAATATCTTTTTGCCTTCAAAGTGGTTGCCTATACCCTCAAACTTGATGCTATTAAACAAAACAGAATGTAGTAAAATCAGTCAGGACAAGATGTGGAGAACCATACGGGGGTTCAAAACAGCTAATAAGAAGACAAAAAAGTTACTATAATGTATCGTGCTATTTTAAATTTAGTTTTCCCTTAAAAATAATAAGAAATTAATTTTTTAAAAAAGAAAAAAAGGGCAATTGAGATAAAAGAGGACATATCAATAGAACAACACAGGTCAGAAATGAACAATTTAAGCATTATTTTGTTTCACGACCAGATAGCCTGACATAATAGCTGTTAACATAGTTTCTCTTTCCTTGAAATATTTGAGTTTAACTTTGTATACTATAGCATCAAACTTATCCAGACAGTGTGAAATCATTCAAGAGAATGGAAGTATTGCAGGATATTTAGAACCAGCTAATAGAAACCGAACAATGGTTTCTATACTATCTCTTTGCCTATAAAAAATTTGTTTATACTATCACACATATTAAAATATAATATGATACAACATGTTAAAACCAATTGAAACAGATGAACAACAACTTGATAGGACTTCAAAACAGGATGATATTAAATAAGCACTAGCTATTATGCTGCCTAATTTTCTTCAAAATAGCTATTCATACTATCACAGACAATAAAATCGAACAACCCAGATTAAAACCATTCCAATTAATGAATGAAAACATTATATTGCTTCAAACCAATATGATGGGAATCATGATTACCATGTACTTTTATGTATTCTTATCATTTCTTACACTAGGGAAACTATTTGGTATTTATACACGTGAGTTTGATTTATTTCACTTATGAGTATGTTCTGAAGCTGCATCCATTTATTTATATCTCATGGTGATCATCCTTTATAGCTGAGTAGTACTTCATTGTATAAAAATACCACAACTTTTTTATCCATTCCTCAGTTGATGGACACTTAGGTAGTTTCCAAGATCTGGCTATTACAAATTGTGCTGCTATAAACATGGGTGCAAATATGTCACTGTGGTATCATGCTTTCAGTTCTTCTGAGAATATGCCTAGAAGTGGTATATCTGGGTCAAATGGGGCTTTCAAACCCAGCTTTCTGAGAAATATCCACACTGACCTCCACAATGTTTGTACCAGTCTACACTCCCACCAACAGTACAGGAGAGTTCCTTTTTCCCCACAGCCTCTCCAACATTTGTTGTTGGTGGTTTTCTTGATCTTGACGATTCTTTCAGGAGTGAGATGAAATCTCAGTGTGGTTTTAATTTGCATTACTCTAATGACCTATGATGGTGAAGATTTTTTTCATGTATTTATTTGTTGTTTGTATTTGTTCATCTGAGAATTGTGTATTCATTTCAGATGCCCATTTTTGGATTGGGGCTTTGAATATTGGGGGTCAGATTTTTTTTAATTCTTTATATGTTTTAGAAAGAAGTCCTTTGTCTGAGGGACAGTTCACTCAGATTTTTTCCCAGTTCGTAGGTTTTCTTTTCCCTATGTTAGAGATTTTTTTTTGATGTGCAGAAACCTTTTAATAAGTGCTAATCCCACTCATTGACTCTGGGAAGTATTTCCCATGTAGTTTGAGTCTTGTTCATGAATTCTCTATCTACCCCTATGTCTTCAAGGTTTTTACCCAGTTTGTCTTCCAATAGATTTAGTGTTTCTGTTTTAATATTTACATCTTTGATCCATTCAGATTTTATTTTAGTATATGGTGATAGGCATGGGTCTAGTTTTAGTTTTTGGCATGTGGAGAACCAGTTTTTCACCACCATTTATTAAAGAGACTGTCATACCTCCAGTGAACATGTTTGGCCCCTTTATCAAAGATGAGGTGGTTGAGTGTGTTTGTAGTTGTGTTTGTATCTTGTCATCTATTCCACTGATCTTTAGCTCTGTTCCGATTCCAGTAGCATTTTACTACAGTTGCTTTGGCAATTTTACTACAGTTAATTTTACTACAGTTGCTTTGTAGTTTAACTTCAAGTCAGGGATTGTGATGCCCCCTGCCTTGCCTTTGCTGCTTAGAACTTGCTATTCTAGGTCTCTTCT